TGCATCTTGAAGTCTTTAAACCACAATTTGAGGACTTCAATAGCTCAGACATAAGTTAGAGGTTTGTTACAGGAGTTGGTGGGTGAGATTCTGTGGCCTGCGTTGTGCAGGAGGTCAGACTAGACAATCATAATGGTCCCTTCTGACCTTAAAGTTTATGATTCTATGAAGTAAGCATTTATGTACTACTTATCTATAATACCACAAGAATACTGAAATTTGTTAAATAAAAATAATGATTGTTCCTCATAATTTGGGATGTTTTAAGCTTTAAATTTATTCTTATAAAAATCAAATTGTTTTCAATATAAGAAAGTGTGTATGTGACAATATTGTAACTTTGTTTTCACCCCCCAAAATTGAATGTGATGTAAAGAAAAATACACAGAATACATAAAATCACAGAATATTAGGGTTGGAAGAGACCTCAGGAGGTCTAGTCCAATCCCCTGCTCAAAGCAGGACCAACACCAACTAAATCATCACAGCCAGGGCTTTGTCAAGCCGGGCCTTAAAAACTCTAAGGATGGAGATTCCACCACCTCCTTAGGTAAGCCATTCCAGTGCTTCACCACCCGCCTACATCTGGATTAATGTAAATACTTAAAAAGTATAAAGCAGACTAAGTGAAAGCTCATCTTGCATCTGACAAGGTCCTGGATTTTGCAAATTTACTTGAAGTCATAGGGGAAACTTCTATGTAGAAAGCTACAAGAAGCATCATGGCAGACTCTGTCGAGGAGGTACATGATTATATGGAGTTGAATATTGGTTGTTTTTTAAAATTAGCCAGCTGCAACGTTCTTTAAAGCAACGTGAGGAGCTTCCCCCGCCCCCTTCTTCTAATAGATGTTTATTATGAAACTGTCAAAATATTCATAAAACATTACTATTAATGTACCAGTTTCACAATGTAATCTTTTACATATGGAAGACTCATATGTCTAATTACAATAGCATTCTTTAGAAACACAGTCATCATTTCCATACTTTCATTTTTTACAGAACTTATGGATGTTACCTCTTTGAGGACCCCTTTAACGCAAACCCAGATGTTTCCTTCAGTGAATCAGGAGACATCAATTTTCATTGTCATCTTGAAAATAAGTCTCAAATTTTTTATTTGTACTAGTATTTGAAAAAATGTTCAATATTTCAGTTTCCTTATGCGTGAGTGTATTCTATCAGAATATTGAATAATTTAAACCAAATGCCTGAATACCTATTTTTGTGTGTGTTTTAGCTTTTCTATAAAGGAAGCCTATGAGCTAAAAAGTGAGTGGAAATTCTTTTTTTCTTCAGGTATACACTGAAACATTCTTAGCACCTTTTAAACAGTCTGGTTCATACTGGCCATTAAAATAAGCTTACGAACTGTAACATTATCCCCTGAAATTTGCTATTTTGCTTCCATTTTTTATGAAAAGATAATGCCTTACAAAGACTTATCATGCCAAATTTGGGCTTAAAGTTCGATAGCCGAGATTTATATCCCTTAGAAGTGAGTTTATAATGAAAACTCTGACATGGGCACTTGCAGATTTCACTGTAATTATTTTTTCTTTAAAAAGATGCATGAAATAAATATATATCACATTTGAAATACTGAAGTTTAGGCTATGTAAGCAATTATTTTTCAATGCTACATCTACTAAGAAAAATGTCCTTTTGGGATGAAACACTGTCTAGAAGTTCTCAGGCTAGTTTTGTTGTCATAACAGATTACATAGTATGCATTATTTTTAGCCAAAGCAACACCAGGAAAAATTTCAAAAATGCTATTTGGTAGATATTTAGCTTCCTACCAAGACAGCTGCCTTTTGAATTTTACCCTCTAATTGCTTACAGAGGAGACATTACACTTTAAAATGTCTGTTGGCTTTGCAGAATAACTACATCTTCGTATTTTAATGCTGCCAGAGGGCCAAACCCACTGAACTCAAAAAAGTTTATGCCTGCATAAAAGGAAATGCAAATTAAACTATGCTCCCTGCATAAGGCAATAAGGAAGCTGCCATCTTTTATGGAAATACAAGTACAGAAGATAAGATACACAGATGTTGCTTAGCATCATGCATTGCATAAATTGTAAGGAATAATCTAAAGGAGGAATTGCTAAAACATCTGGGTCCATTTACTGCTACTGGATGTGGATTATCCTTAGATGCTCTCTATAACTGAAACTGAATGTTAGTGTTAATATGTACAATACATCTGTGCTATGATATCACAGTACAAGGACTTATATGCTAAAGAAATTCATGTACAAGTGACATCAATAACTTTAAGGCTGGGCCTCACACTTCATGTCCTGCAAAAGCAAAAAATACAGAGTTAAGCCTCTATTCTCCTTTTGATATGTGTACGTAACTCCATTTGATAGTAAGAGAAAAATTACTCACTTTGACAATGTGAGAAAAATTTCTTACTGATAAATCAGATTCTCTGAAGGTAAGAAATATAACAGAACTCCTTTCCAAGGTCCAGGATCCAGCATATGACAGGGATCAGAATACCCTAAAGCACAGCTTTCTAATACGAGCACTCTGGGCTAGCTTGTGCCTTTAAGGCACAGTGTGTGGTAAGGGCCGTGTGAAGCCACGCCTCCCAGAACAATGACAGATATTTTGCTTCCATTTTCAGTTGCACTAGAGGGACGTTAATTACCAATAGCCTTTAAGGAGCACAGCATATGCTTGGCTGAAGCATGGGGAGAAGGAGCTATGAGTGGCTACTTCATGCCTTCTTTATGTCATATAGAAGCTCCTGAGTACTTCAAGTACAGGAGCTACAATTCTGGGTAACTCTTAAGTGCAAGGTGAGAAGAAAGCCCCTTCTTCCCTCCCGCTTCACTGTGTGGCTGTATAACTCACACACCTCCTGGGTGTGGTGTTCTGTCCCATCTAGTGGCACTGAGACCACTGAAAGAGAGAGAGATTAATGAGTCTGCTCTACAGCCTTAGCTAACGGCCATATGGCTTTTAGCTCATGCAGTAGAGGCTCATGCACTAAGCTCCAGAAGTCCCAGGTTTGATCCCAATGACCGGGGTCTGACAGTGTTACAACTAGACATGTGTAACTGTCTCAACACAAGAGAAAGTATGCTTACCTACTGCTGAGATATAGAAGTACTTCAACCATGGCCGTTTCATTTTCTGCTAACTGGCAGGTGAGGAGCTCCTTTCTGAGACAGCAACCTGTTTGTCTGTTTTTCCTATATAAGGTCTCTCTCATGTGTACAAGTATCCTCAAAATACTTTTTTTTGCTTCTATTTCTAATTTTTTGTTATTAAATAGCAACAAATTTTGTAATGAATAGTTTAGTTTTGTTTTCCTTTGCTGGAATCTCTTTCTTGAGACCCTTTCTACAATTTGTGTTGTACCTACACTTGATTTCAAATATCTAGTTATTTTTTCTATATTAATTTCCAATAATTGTCCTGAGTGCAACAGAAGACATCTATAGTAAAGTAACACAAACCTTAAATTTATTTTATTTGCTTCAAAAATGCAAGAACTGCCTGAAGATTAGAACAATATATCTAAGATGTGGCAGATTTTTCATTACTTGAAATCTTTAAATCAAGATCAGATGTCTCTCTGCAAGATGTGTTCTAACTCAGTGTTTTGCAACCTTTTCAGGTTGGCGACACCTTATTTGCAATAAAAAATGTTCATGATTCCCTTCCAGTTTACTATAAAAGTAAGAGTAAAAATATATTAATGATAAGCCTTGGTGTGTGTCTTTCTCTGTTGGTCTGTTGATCTGTTGAAGGGTAAGGGGGTGTGTGGAGAAGGGAGTGAGATTTCCCTTGCTTTACATTGTAATAAAATGTTTGATTCTTTGCAAACCTGATTACCTTTCTTGACCCTCCTGGAGGTCATGACCAACTTGTTAAGAAACACTCTTCTAACTCAACCACAAGTATGGTACTGAAGCAAGGGCACTGGAGCCTTTGTAGAAGTGAGGAGGGGCAATGGTGCTGGAACTGGGGGCACCAGGGGGCCATGCCCCCTACTTTTAAATATGGCGTAGTTTGTGGGTTAGAGGGCTGTGTCCCCCTCCCTGCCCAAACTTCAAGCCAGGGGCAGGCGAGGAGCAATGCTGGCAGGGGCTGTGCTTCGCAGTGCGGGAGCTGATAACGGAGAGTTGCACTGAAGGCCTTAGCTTCGGTGCAACTTCAACTTATTAATTATTATTAACCAAAACAGTGGTTTGACATCTGAAGTTGCTCTGGAGGCTTGGAAAATAGGAGTTATCTTCATATTTCAAGAGAGGATGATACTCCATGGATCCAATCCATAGCTGGTGTAAATCAGTGTACACCAGTTTACACCAACTGAGTATCTAGCCCCAGAAGTCCTTGAATGCCAGTAGTACATTAAAATATCTCAGGCCTGATTCTCCACTTCATAACACTGGTTTTATGAAGTGTAACTTCACTGATTACATTAGCACAAAACTGATACAACAGAATGGAGAATACACACTTTTTTAATGTGTATCCTTTGTGATGATGTATTTAAAGACAATGGTGTGTTTCTGTCCGTACTATGTACTTCCTTGCTTTTGCAGATATGAATCACAACCTTACTATTCTTTAAAATGTTCTTTTTGTGTGTGAATTGATGGCAAACTCTGTTACTATTAAATCAGTGAAATAAACATTCAAACCTAATTAATATCAAGGCTCTTTACAAATCTACAGATGAATATGGTGGGCACACTAACAAGATATTGCAAATATATGAACCCTGACCTGTAGAACAAACCCAACATTTAGAAAGAGACTTGGAAGGAAAAAACAAAGAATTCTGTAAAAGATGCTTTGCACAAGAGTGAAACTGCTGTGATGTTTCTTTACTTTGTCACAACTCTTAATATTAGTTAATTAATCAAAATACATTCTCCCTGGTACTATGTATGGCACAATTATTTTTTCTTTTAAAAGGAAAAGATTACTTTTATAAATGTGATAGTAGTTTATTATTTTGCTTACATGTTCATTCCAGGCATTCCAGGGCCACCTAAAGCATTCAGTGGCGGTCTCATTGCACCTCCATAGTTCTGCAATGATAACCAAGGGTCAGACTACCACAAAACAAAAAAACAAAACCAAAGAGGAGGGGGGAAAGAAAGGACAGCAGGTTAATGACTTCCCTACACACCTGTTGATTGGATAGGCCAGTGTGACTCACTCTTGCAGGAGTTTCCATTCTTGACTTTAAAAAAAAATTCTTATGCCTAACGAAAAAGTAGTATGCTTAGTACACTACACATATTAACGGGTCTTAAAAATTTATGTGTACTAAGCATACTTAAAATGCTAATTGTTCCATGAAGATTTATGATACATGGTAGCAAAGTCAATGGTCAACAAAGATCAGATTCAGTAACTGTTCAACTTTCATACCATGAAAACTCGTTCAAGGACAGAAAATAGATTTTTTTCGGGGGGTTTCACAGTTTGGAATTCTGATAGAATTATTTTTAATTGAACCTGGTTAATGAACAGGGTATTAAAAACTTCCATAGGAAAATATTTCATTTCTGTAACACATAAAATGATTGCTATACTCCTCTTGTAACCAATTTAAGGCAACAAACATGAAAATTATTCAGATAGCATAATGGATGCCATAGAAATGCCTATGAATGAGCTATCCAAAACCCTATTATAGATAAAACCAATGTGTGTGCTCAGAGAAGATTTAGATCATGACATAAACTGACAAAAGCCTAGACATTGTGCTATTTTCCTGAAAGACTAAACTATTAGGTCAATTTTTTCAGTTAAATGTAAATAGAACAACCTGCCTTACCCCACATATATCATTCATTGTAGAGACTGTACCAGTCCTACTGCGTTTTTCTGATATCTTAGGCAAATATATGTATAATAAAGCAATTTCTAAAAAGTAAAATAGTATGTTTTGAGGAAGTGGGGCAGACAATCATTTACCTAAGAGAACAGAATGTCCTCAAAGTCGTTATTGTTATCTGTTTTGCAATGATGTAACTACAACTCACTCTAGTTATACTATAACTGGATTACTGAACTTTAACTGGAGTTCTCCAAAGCAGTCTGTTACACAAATCAATGCTCTAGGGTGTTTGAGCACCAAATTATGCAGACCAGGGAGCAATCTGACAATAAGATTTAAAATGTAGACCTGATACTGTATTTCATGTGTCATAGCGAAAAGAGATATTTCAATTACAAAAAACTTATTTAAAGTGAACCAAGAAAGGACTTCTAGGAGTAAGTTCTCTTGTTGCAAACTAGAAGACAAACCTGCAAGTGCTCCTTGTTTAGACTTCCCATTGAAGCCCACGGGAGTTCTACACATAGATGGCTCGTATGAATGGGTTTATGTAACAAGCTAATAAGCTAATTCTAAAACAATTGGAATGCTACCTCGCGTTCCCTTTAAATATTCATGTTTTTGGCATCTCCCTGTACCAAAACAGTACCAAAATGACATCCATTTCTGGAGGAACTCTGAAGCTATTTAATTCTATTTTTCCATCTTCATTTCAGAGATCTGAGCCACCTTTCTTTGGACCATCTTCCTGTTTTTTCTTTTCTTTATTCTGACAAAGGAACCAAGTCTGTGGGCCTAAGATCTTTATGGAATTCACTAGGAGTTCTCAACTGGAAGCATTTTAGTCAGGTGTCCTTGCTGAACTTGAACTGAGAGAAATCAGATTAAAATCATTTGGCACATTTAGTAAGCATAAACCTTTACAATTATATACAACTGTTTGCCTGTTGCTGAAGATGAAAGAAAATAATTAGGGTAGACCTGGGACAGCTGCTGCCAAGAAGGAAATCCAAGAGGAGAAGATGGATGAAGAGAGGAATCTGGAGAACAGTGGCGAATGAAGGAGTCTGACCAACAGTTAGAGGCAGAGTTTAACAAAGTTGTTTTTGTTTCGTTACTTTTCCTTGTTTTATTTTCCTTTTCCCTTTCACTGTAATTTGTTTTTTTGTTTGTCAGTCATTATCCAAAAATTAACTATTATACCTATGGCAAACTGTTAAATGAGGGAAAATTCATTTAAAATAAAATGTAAAAAAGTTACATACTTGTGTTTTCAGTCTCCCTATCCCAAGCACAAGAATGTAGGTGTTAGCACCAAACAAACTGGACAGCAAAATCAAAACTAGTGTACAGTCCAAACTTGCTATCTAGCTCAAATATGGCCTGTCACCATGATATATGGTATTTAGATAACTCTTTTATATTTTGTGTGCTTGAATCTCATTTACATGAAGGACAGATCTACACTAAAAAGTTTTACTGGCATAGCTATTTTGGTAAGGGGTATGATTTTTTGCCAACATAGTTATACTGGTAAAAGTCCTAGTATAGCTGCAGTCAGGAAACTGACATAAGCTATACTGGGATAAGCACTTTTATACCAATATAACTGTGTCTACACCACAAGAGGTTTTGCAGTTTAACTATACCAGTGTAGCACAACCAGCAAAACCCTCCTAGTGTAGATTAAGCCTAAAGCAGCTTTACACTCTCTGGCACTGCAGAAGTACCTTAAAGTGGGCATGAAAGGCTCTGTAAGTTAGCTCGTCCTTCGAGTTATTAAAACTGCTTGCTCAGAAGACCCACGCCACCCCCAGGCAAATGAGAAGGATGATAGATAAGCATGGATCTATAGAAAAGACTACTTTGGAAAACTCAGGTCTGAGAGAATTACATAGTCCCCTCCAGTTTTAAAGAGAATAAAACTGAAAATCATCTTTGCTAAAATTGACATCAGACTTGCCTACTGTGTGTAGCTAATAATGCTAGCGTAAAGTGTGAGCTTAAATTCATGACCACAAAGCTTAACTTTCCACCACAAAAAAGAAAGTGGCAGAAATACCAAAGTGCTGTAGAAAAACAAACATATGTTTATACACATTTGTGTTGGTTACACATGCAGAATTGGTTGCGACCAAAAAGAGTCATGGGTTAAAAAGAAAGAGCTACCCAGTTATTCAAAACTAAACGTAGATCCCATTGAACAGAGAAGTCACTAGGGAAAATATCTGAATGAAGAAATCAAAGTGTAGAGGGATGAACATAACCCAAATATTCTTCAGAATAAGATGTAAAGCCAAAATGGCTATAACAAGCAAAAAAACAAAAAACAAAGTTTGAGACCTGAGTTACTGAGGAAAAGTGATAATAAGCAATGGACAATCCACTGGGCTAACCTTTTTGGAGGTATTTCAGAATGGATTTAATTTCCACTTGACTTCATTCTTGTAAGTGGAAATATTATATATTTTTACTAAAAAACTTTCACACCCTTGGAGAAGGAGTCTCTGTATAAGTAACTATAACCAGGTCAGCATTGGGAGGAAGGCTGAACACAGATGTTCAAGCTTGTTGCTCTTCTTGAAAAGCAGATCTAGAAAGACAAGGCTAACAACTGGTATTTATAGGTGATATGCAGGCACCATCTATAGACAGTATGACTAATTGTGCATATTAAAAATCTTATGCCAAAAAACCTAGAGTGTGGAATTTTTGATCAGAAGTTTAGTGGCTAGAGAAAGATCTTTATAAAAATTAATTAATTTTGATTTTGCTACACAGACTATGAATACTTTAGCTGTATTGTGGGGCTAATTTTCCCTCCAAAATAATATAAACAATAAGGTTAGGATTTTCAAAGGAGCCTGAGCCAATTGCTTAGGCTCCTTTGAAAATCCTAGACTTAGACCATAATATGCATTAATTGTGGCATAAACTTAAGTTTTCTCAATGTTTTATAGTTATATGGACAAATATGTAAGCCTTTTTATTTGAATTATAACTGTATCATTCAAAATAAATTAAATCAATCTTTATAAAATTTTGTAAATACAATAAATTTTCTTTATAGTTCGCAACTTTGTCAAGTTTTAACTGAGAATATTTTTTTATTATAGAGAGAAAATCCCTTAAAAATGGGATTAGAAAGAAAAGTGCTGACATATTTAAACCTTCGTTCTAGTACAGCTGTGACAAAAAGGACCCTAAAATATCATATGTATGTGTACTGTAAATATAGACACACATATTTATGCAAGGTACCTGTGGTCCTAATGGAACCATTCCTCTTGGAGGAGTCATTCTCTGCATTGGCCCACCCATGTTTGGATGCCCTGAAAAAAATCACACAACTTTACCAACTGTGGTGCATAAAAACACTTCTAAATTATTGACAAATTATCACTTCATCGTTTGAAAAGTGTTTACGCAGCCGCAGTGGACTTTAAAACAAGAGGTGCTGGATGCAAGTTTGGGATCATGCAGAACCTTTCTAAAAGAAAAAAAAAGGTTGATATTCTCAATATACATTTCACATCTAGTAAACAGGCACTTTACCTTGTTGTCGTGTTGGGTCCATCCCACTGGGCAATAATGGCTGACTTCCTGGGACACCTCCAAGTGCCTACACATATATAAAACATGTTGAGAGGAAATATAAATTGTATTTTAAACAGATAATTCAGGTAATTTTGTTTTTAATTTTGAAACTGTTACTGAGCCAAGTGTAAAGCAAAAAGTTTAACTCTGCTAAAGATATAGGACAAGATCTTACAATTGGATCCACGCACCCTTGTGGCCACATGGAGCTCCAATGATTTAAACAGCTAAATGTGAATATTCTTCAGTATTTATTTTTACCTAATTTTCTTTTATTTGTCCCTAATTTTCTTGTATTGTGTATCCCACCTGGCTATGGAGCATGGGGCAATGCCGTTTCTTGATTCTGGGGTCAGTTTTCTCTATGTTTAAATTTTGACATCCTCTATCATTTTAACAGCTACCTTCCAGGGCTAGAAGGGTGGCTTTGTGGTCTTCTCAGATGCTCAGCCACAACTAGGCCACCTGGGCGGTATTCAAAATGCAGGCTAAGGTAGGGCTGGGAGGTGGGGAATGTAGTTTCCATCCTCCCTAACCATCCAAGGACATTAGTTCCAAGATATACTCTCTATACTCCTACAATGGAAACAAGAGACTCCAAGCTTGGTCCCAAATCCTGCCTTCAAGCATGATAATATAATGTGTTGTTATGTCCCGCTTGGCCCAAATGTAGCATATTGTTTTTAAATCCCCAAGTTATTATCTGTCCTTTGAGTCTGTTATAAGATAGTTAGATTTACAATTAATTTCTCTAGCCTTTTGCACAAATATCTGTAGTATAGTCATCTTACAAAAATCTTCATCAAGAATGGATGTTTGAGTCTGGAATGGTGTTTCAAAAGCCAACTAAAATTAATTAATTCATAATAAAAATGTTTATCTGGAGTACGTAAATCTGGTGTTATTAAATGCATCTAATCAGGTAACACTGGTATTGCTTAATGAAGGAACTGATCAGTTTATCTTGACTGCGAAGAAATATGATTGTGGTGAATTTTTATTATTTTACATATATATGTATATACATAAATAAATATATATATATATGTTTATTATTTTACACTTTTACACACACATACGTACATATATATATATATATATATATATATATATATATATATAAACACATGCACTCTAAGGTTGAGGTTTTAATTGCAGAAGAGTCAGGAAATTCAAAGGTAACATTCACAATGTTCCCTTTTGAGTATGCATTACAATTGTGTACTTCATTATATGATTTATGGAACTTATAGAGTTTCATTCTGTGTCATTTTAGTCAATGGGAGCATTATCATTTACTTCAATAGGTGCAGGTTCAGAATGATATGTAGGAGCAAAAAGTAAAACATGCAAAAGTGTCAAATTCCAGCAAAGTGGAATCTGGTCACCTGTGCCAAAGATGACAGGTGGCATGCAGGGAAACAAGAGTAAAGTCCTTAGTGTAAGACACCCAGGCTGGAAATTTGACTCATGCAATATTTGGAACATGTATGGTTATATAAAGAAGTGCCCCTTCCTTCCACTGTATCATATTGTATTATTGCTGAGCAGTATGTCACATTTTCCTATGTGACCAAATAAGACAGAACCCTACTATAATGCATGTGCTCGAGGGAAGAGTTATGGTTACTGTGAGAATTTTAACTATGATTTTACTGACTTTTGTGTAATCAAAATTTCAACTTTAAAACTGCATTACAATAGTTTATCACTTTCATGTACTGCTTATATTATCTGTAACTTAATGATAGGCAATGTTGCCAAAACTGGTAATTCATGAATGTGGCATAATGTAAATGAACTGCAAGAGCTGTAATTCACTGAGATTATGCTATAGCTCTAAACTGAAAACAGTGTAATGTGCAGACAAAAATAGCTTCTGAAATTAAAACAGCAGGTTGGCAGTAGTTTTTATAGTATTCACCACATCCAGCTTTTACCTGCCAGTATTTAAACAATTCAGAAATACATACATATAAAAATGTGAAAGTCAAATGCCAGAATGTCTTTGAGTAACATATTATTGTAAGGTACAGCAATCAGGAATTTATTTTATACTGAATTACAGTATACTTATAACAAATGTTTAAAGCAATGATAACTTTTCACTTACAGTATATAGTCCAGGGGCAGGCCAACTTTTTGGGCTGAGAGCCACGTCGGGTTTCCAAAATTGTATGGAGGGCCGGTTAGGGGAGGCTGTGCCACCCCAGACAGCCGGGCATGGCCCGGCCCCCAACCCCTATCTGACCCCGCGCCCGCTTCTCGCCCCCTGACAGCCCCCCCAGGACTCCTGTCCCATCCACCACCCCCTGCTCCCTGACCTCCCCCAGACGTCCCGCCCTTGACTTCCCCCCACAGCCCGATCCAACCCCTCCTCTCATTCCTGACTGCCCCCCCGGGACCCCTCCCCATCCAACCATCCCTTCTCCCTGTCCCCTGACCACCCCCGGAACCCCTGATCCTGACTGCCCCCCGCCGCCCCATCCAACCCCTCCTCTCCTTCCTGACTGCCCTCCCAGGACCCCTGCCCCCATTCAACCACCCTGTTTCCTGCCCTCTGACCGCCCTGATCCCTATCCACACCCTTGGCCCCTGACCACCCCCTCGAACTCTCCTGCCCTCTGTCCAATCCCCCTGCTCCCTGCCCCCTTACCGCGCTGCCTGGAACACTGGTGGCTGGCGGCGCTACAGCCGTGCAGCACAGAGCACCGGGGTAGGCCGGGCTCTGCAGCTGCACTGCCCCAGGAGCTCGCAGCCCCTCTGCCCAGAGCATTGCGCCGGCAGCGCAGTGAGCTGAGGCTGCGGGGGAGGGGGAATAGCAGGGGAGGGGCCGGGTGCTAGCCTCCCAGGCCAGGAGCTCAGGGCTGGGCAGGAGGGTCCCGCGGACCAAATTTAGCCCGTGGGCCATAGTTTGCCCACCTCTGATATAGTTCCTTCCATGTACAGATCAGAAAGCAGTTAATAAACTTTAATTAAGCTACCCACCTCTCCTATGTAGTACATATCAATATACCCTTTTACAGCTGGGCAAAAAGGGGCAGACAAAGATTAAATGAATTAGAAATTACAGAAGTTAGTAGTTGATGGAACAATCAGAAATGGGACTCAGGAATCCCCCTATTAACCACTATACCATATTCCCTAAAACAGTGGTTTTCAAACCCTGTAGGTCCACAGACTATGTCTAAGATTTTCAAAGAAATCCACACCTCCATTCGAAATTTTTTATGGGTCTGCAAATGTAAAAAGATTGAAAACCACGGCCCATAAATGTGTGTCCTTGATATAAGGCTCTTACCTGATTGGGTATTCTTAAAGGTGGCCTTGGACCTCCAGGGTATCGAGGGGACATAAAAGGCTATGAAAAAAGGAACATAACCAAAGAATTCAATTTAGTTCAGAAATGTTTTATGTAGTAACTACATATATAGTTCCTGTGATCCTCAAATCTCAGGAGCTCATCTTATATACTTTGACAACAGTATTTAGTACATTAGTCTGCAGCACTTAGCAAAACTATATATATTTTAAAACTCTTTTCTGAAGATTAGTACCAAGCTGCATTTCTTAAAATTTTTAATACAGCTATTGTGTAAGCGGAATATGAACAACTATATGCACAGCATATGTAAAATGATAAACTATTAACATTACATAATCAAAAATGGAAGTTTTTGACTGGATAAAAGGGAAGTTAAAAAGCCTGGAATATAAAATAAAATACTCTAGGAAGAGTTGAGAGATACATAATAACAGAATAATTCAAAATGTCAAGTACTTTATCTTTTTACGTTTTCATTTTAAAGAATATAAGGTATATAATAGTGACAGAGGATTTGGATTTCAGGTTTGGTTCACATATGTGTCTAGAGGTCTGGAGACTTATTTGAACTACATTATCTAAATTACTGAGCTCTGCTCACATACCTCATGTAATGCAACCCTTCCTCCCCACACGCCAGTCTACCTACCCCATCCAACAAACCTTGGTTCACCATCACTTGGTGTTAGCTGAGTGTCCACTGGACCTCAGCTGCCATTGTAGTACATAGGAAAGAGATAGTCTTTAAGATTGCTGGGAAGCAAACCAGTTAGGAATTAATATATGGAAGTCAACTCCTTAACTTGCACCCAGAAGTAAACAGGAAGCCAATGCAAACATCAGAAAACAGATCTAACATTCCAGTGTTGGGGCTTAACCCCCATCACCTGAAAGGCAAGGGAAAGAATCCCAATTAGTCATGCTCTGCATCTGGAGGGTGATTAATTAACTGCCTTCTGGCCAGAGGAGGTATAGTTATGACTTATAGGTAGACTGAAGGAGCTCAGCGGAGGAGAGACTGCAGAGGAGACAGATCTCTCTGGCAGAGAGAAGCCCTGGGATAGGCTTTAGCAGACAGGAAACAACAGAGGAAGAATATTACGGGAGCAGGTTAGGTTCCTGCAGGGGAAGCCTGAGGTAGGGCCAACAAAGGAACTAAAGTGGAGTCTGAAAGAGGCAGAAGGGGTATAAGTTTTAAGATTCATTTGGATTTGTTCATGTTCCAGTGGAAGTGGTTTAGACTTTCATGTGAGTTGGTTTGAGGGCCAAGCCACAGAACACCTGAAGGAACTCAGGAGAAGACAAAGGCTGGAAAAGGCCATCACAGGGATGAGGGAGAGCCTAGTAGGGGGTGCCAGAGACAATGATCCTGTGACCAGAGATCAGGGGGAGTGCTATTACAATTCCTCATGATTACATTTTCAAGCACGACAGCCCATGAAATTTTCACCAGCTGTAACTTTCAAGCTGTCTTCAAACACAACCATAGGTAGAACACATTGAATTATTCCCATCTAGAAGTCAGAAAGCAGGGATCATGGTAGCAAAGTCTAGATCTGAAAGGAAAGGGAGCAAATGTCTAAGTAGAAAGATGATAAAAGAGTGATTTTGGCAACTAATAACACCTGTAATTCCAGAAGCAGCTGAAGAGCCTAAAGCATTCTTTAAATTGTGAATATTTGAACAAAGAGAAGACTATCCCTGCAATAATCAGGGCAAAACCTCTCCTTCCACAAGCCTTTCCCTCAGGATCTCTCAGACCAACAGAGTGGAAATTCTGGAGAACAAAAGCTGAGCTGGAAGTGTTGGACTTACTGAGCTCACTGAAATGGCTGGAGCAAATGACTGTACAGTGGTTTTAATGTTATACAGCTGGACAAAGTAGAAGATCCCATTATAATGACTGCAGGTTTAAAAAAAAGTCTGTATTGAAAAACCCTAAACAGGGTGCAGGAAACAAATATTATTTTTCTGTTACAGACAGTCATGACAAAGAAACAATTCCAACAGCTGGTACGGGAACAAAAGATACATTCTATTTAAAAAAAATCAGTCTTCAAAATTTCATTCTTCTCATTCTAAAGCCCAGCAAAAACAATCAGAAAAGGAGAGAATGTGTTTCTATTAGGAAAGCCTTCGAAAAAGCATATGTTGAAACAGCAGCACTTTTCCTGGTTACATTCTGGTTCAGACAGTCAGGAAAAGTGATAATGATTCAGCATGACTTTTTGACAAGTTACAAAAGTCGGATTCCACAAACAATATCCAACAGGATGAAGATGACATAGAGACTCTGGCATCTTTAACTGCTTATTGTTACTACTAGCTATTTTTGTTCTGTTTGCTGTTAAGCTTTAGCCTGCTTGATTTTGAAATATAAAATGTTCAAGATTTCTTGTGCCTAGCAACCAGCGCTTGGGTTAATTCCTACAGATGATAATCCAGCAAGTGGCCTGGCTCTCAAGAAACTCTTTTATTTAAATCAACATCCTTTCTGAATACTGGGATTAGAGTTTGTTTATTCCCAAGTGAGGTTAAATTAATATTTGGATACTGCTGTTACTTCTTTTTACTCATGTTTTCATATATAATGACAAAAATGTGCAAATAAATTGCAAAATTTGCAATATTTAGGCACCTTAATATAAGTAGCCTGATTTTCAGTAATGATGGGTATCCACAATCCTACTGAAACCAGTGGGAATTGCAAGCTCAGTATCTCTGAAAATCAGGCCACTCTTCTTTAGGGGCCTACATTTGGATTAAGGGGCCTAACATTAGGTATCCAGGTTTGAAAATTGTGGTCAGAGAACCCATTAGAAAACTACCATGATTCCACTTGGTTTTTAAAAGGCACCTCTATGTAATTTCTGGATTCCTTCTCTCTGCTCCGGAACATTGGATGAAGCCTCTGAAAGAAGGAGTTAAACACAGGACTTCTTTTATTTCTATGTATTTTAGTAAGTTCAAATTTCAATTCCTGGAAATGTGACTCTTGTTTAACCAGACAGATTTTAAAGTAAATTTAATCTTTATGTGTGAATTTCTATGCATGTGATAGCCCAGTGGCGGGCAACATGCGGCCCGTCAGGGTAATCCGCTGGTGGGCTGCCAGACAGTTTGTTTACCTTTGCACGGCCACCTGCAGCTGGGCGAACCGCGGCCACTGGGAGCTGCAGGAGGCCGTGCAAATGTAAACGAACTGTCTGGCGGCCTGCCAGTGGATTACCCTGATGGACTGCATGCAGCCCACGTGCCGCAGGCTGCCCACCACTGTGATAGCCTATGTGCAGGCTGTGCTGTATGGTTCAATTTAATGTAAAAAATAACCTGAAAAAAAGTTAAAGAAAACTTACCTCAAAAAGAAAAGGTAAATATATAGGGCAAGATTCACCCTAGGTTCTACATTCACTTATGGCAGCACACACCTGGTGGCAGTAAGTACAAGGCCATTTCAGCAAAACAAAATAAATTATTTATATTGGTCTTCATTGCAGAGGACATGGGGGAGATACCCACATCACAGCTATTCTTTTTAGGAACAAATCTGAAGTATTGTCACACACCAATGGGTCAATAGTAGAGGTTTTAGAACAAATTGAAAAATTAAACAGTAATGAGTCACCAGGACCAGATGGTATTCACCCAAGAGTTTGATTGAACTCAAATATGAAATGACAGGACTACTAACTGTAGTATATAACCTATCATTGAAATAAGCCTCTGTACTAGATAACTGGAAGGTAGCTAACGTAACACCAATTTTTAAAAAGGATGTGAGAAGCAATCCTGGCGATTATAGGCCATGAGCCTAATTTCAGTACTAGGCAACTTGACTGAAACTATACTAAAGAACAAAATTATCAGACACATAGATGAACACTATTTGTTGAGGAAGAGTCAACACAACTTTTGTAAAGGGAAATCATGCCTCACCAATCAATAAGAATTCTTTGAGGATGTTAACAAGCATGTGGATAAGGGAAATCCAGACAATTTAGTTGTATTTATATTTTCAGAAAGCCCCTGACAAGATCTCTCACCAAAGGCTCTTAAGCAAACTAAGTAGTCATAGGATAATAGGGAAGGTCCTCTCATGGATCAGTAACTGGTTAAAAGATAAGAAACAAAGGGTAGGAAAAAATGGTCAGTTTTCACAATGGAGACAGATAAGCAATGGGATCCCCCAACTGTTCAACATATTCATTAATTATCTGGAAAGGAGAGTGAACAATGAAGTGGCAAAGTTTGCATATAATTCAAATTTATTCAAGATAGTTAAATCCAAAGATGACCTCAAAGAGTTACATGGGGATCTCAGACTGGGTGTCTGGGCAACAAAATGGCAGATCAAATTCAACATTGAAGTGCAAAGTAATGCAGATTGGAAAAAATATCCCAACTACACATATATAATGATGGGTTCTAAATTAGCTGTTGCTACTCAAGAAAGAAATCATCAAAACTTCAACTCAGTGTGCAGCAGTGGTCAAAAAGGCAAACAATGTTAGGAAAGGGATAGAAAATAAGACAGAAAATATCATAATGCCACTATATAAATCCATGGTGCACCCACATCTTGAATACTGTGACCAGGTATGGTGAAGCCATCTCAAAAAGGATATAGTTGAAATGTAAAAGGTTCAGAGAAGGGCAGAAAAGATGATCAAGGGTATGAAATGGCTTCCATATGAGGAGAGACTAAAAAGATTAGGGCTGTTCAGCTTACAAAAGGAATGATTAAGGGGGAGTATGATAGGGGTCTCAAATAATGAATGGTGTGGAAAAACAAAAGTGAATGAAGTGTTATTTTCCCTTTCCCACAGGGGTCACCTGATGAAATTAATAGGCAGCAGGTTTAATACAAACAAGAGGAAATACTTTTTCACACACCGTACAATTAACCTGTGGAACTCATTGCTATGGGATGCTGTGATGGCCAAAAGTATAACTGGTTAAAAAAAGAACTAGATAACTTCATGGAGGATACGTCCATCAACAGTTATTAGCCACAATGATTAGGGATGTTAGGGATG